CCACATCGTCTCCCCCACAACCTGTATGCCTTGTCGTCGCGCCAAATAGCCTCAGCGCGTAAAATGGATGTTATATTCGTTATCAGGACCTCAAATAACCCTTAAACGCAAGTTTTCAGCAAATTTGGTGAAAACACCCTTGGCGCCAAATGGCGCCAGCGACAAAAGTGAAGGTCATATTCGTTATCAGGGCATCGGATTACCCCTATAGGCGAAGTTTCATCGAAAATTAAAATTTTGAGTTTTTGGGGTTGTAATAGTGGAATAGTACCCAAAATTTATAGTAATGTGTTTGTAATAATATTCACGTGTCACGTAACAATTTGTGTGGTACTAGTATATAATGGGGTCAATTATGTGATTAAGTCGAGAAAGCGCTTATGCCTTCCATCAGGTCATTATCAACATGGTTAGTTGAATACTGCCAGCCTTGTCAGGGGAAGAAGAAAGCTTACTTTAACAACGAATGGCCTCAAGATTTTTTTCGTTCTCTCCCAATAATTTAGAATGCGACGAAATTCGAATTTCTAATTCATAAAATCGATATTAGTTTAAAGAGTGCTTTAGACAGATCAAGGGTCAACGAACTGGTCGAGATGCGAAATGATCCAAATTGGAACTAAACGTGCATTGGCTCATTCTATAGATGCGCAGTCGAGAATGATCAAAACGAAGAATAAAAGAAGGAAAACTTAACATAAAGGCGAAGTGGACAACCAATGCTGGAAAAAGTTGCGAAGAGCTTACAGGGAGCGAAACTATCTATATGAAATCACTCTAGTTAGTCTACGAAAATAAAGATAAAAGCGTAGAGTTACGGTGGACGCCGTTAGTACGCAATTGCACACTGCTACTGGTGTGGAAATAAACATCACTATGTGACAGCGCTTTTTTTTGGTGGGATTTCGCCCGCTTGAACCCCGTATCAAATTTGGCATCTCTACACCTTTAGAACGTCGTCTCAGACTTTTAGAGTGACGAGGAGTAGGTTCGTAACTCGATAACTCAATTGAAGGCCAACACTGGCGAGCAACTTGTAGCCATAATGTAGCAGCTATCTAAATTACCATAAAAAAGACCTTCATCACATTCGGTTAGTCCTACATGATAAGCTGATAACATAAAAGACCAAAGTCGCATAGACACAAGTTGGCAGCTGGCACACCACAATCAACCCATGATACTCAGGCGAGACGCTGCGTACGTAGCCAAATTTGAACGGCTAATGGGCCGTTGCAGATCGTCGTTCGGCTCAATGCTTGATCTCTTTTTGACCCTCTCTCTTCTTCTTCGGTCGCCATTGTTCGCATAGTACAGCTACAATCATAGCAAATCGAAGTGACTGCGGAATTGTTTTTTTTACTTCTAGCTCAATTACTTTTCAAACGCAGGCGTGAAGTGCTGGTTGTTTCGAAGCTGTTTTTTAGATGGATGGCACTGTAAACGACACTTCCGAAACTGTGGAATCCAAGGAAAAACAGAACGTTCATCAAAATGATATAGCTCCGTCAACACTGATGGCTGATTCGATGGGAAAGGGTTGGTTTGGCTAGAATTAGATTCATACACTGCAGTGAATTTTACTGCATCTAAGTGCGTCTATAAGTGGAGGAATCGCGAGCCTTTTCAACAAGCTTGGAACTCAGTTCTAAAGCGCCTACACTGAAATTAGGAGAAGCTTTACGGATATTTTCCTTCGAGTTCATGGATCGTTTTGGACTTCTGGATTGGACATTTGTTCACCTTATCAATTTAAACGGACAAGACGGATTTAATCGTCCCGTGAATGTGTGACACAGTGACCCAAACACACGCTGAAGTGCCTCCAAAACACCCAACGCAATACGACGCAAAGGAAAGGTATCCCGGGTGAAGCACACGGGNGGGTTGTGTGTTGGAGGTACTAGGTGGTTTCGGTGTCACACATTCACGGGACGCTAAAATCCCTCTAATTCCCTTGGTCTAGGTGATATGCGCGACTGTAAAGCTTCGTTTATCTCTACCCATTGCGAAATCCTCTAAAACTTTGAAATAAATGGAATTAAGGACAGAATTTAAGAAACAGTAGGTAGCAAACCCTTGGATTCTTCCTCTTGGGTTAATTGTAAGTGAACAGAAGTCCATCTTTCCGCAAAAGTAAGCAATGCTCAGTAATTGTTCCTACTTAGGATGCACTGCTGATCAGAATGGCGACGAAACAGAGGAACTGTTGACAATACAGGATATCATTGACAACGACGAATCTTGTCGCCAAACCGCTCGGGTTTTGCTTGGAGCTCAAGATTCATCGGTTTGCACGTATCCTGAAGTCAGCCTTTCTACAGTTCAATTTTTTTCTACTTTCGAAATTCACTCATGAGTTATCACCCACATAATAAATATAGGGATATAAGCCTCGACAGGCTTTGTTCGCTTGCCTCACGTGCGCTTCTGATCCGGAAAAGAACGAGGCAGGTATATGTTATGGCTGCTCCTTGCACTGTCATGATGGCCATAATATTGTTGAGCTGTTTACGAAACGTCGCTTCAGGTATGGCTCTTAGCAATACCTATAGTAACAGCGGTTACAGCGGTGAACAAATTCTTGTTCGAACTAAACAAATAATGAACGTAGAAACAGCCCTACTCGACTTGAGATTCTTCCGTTAGCCTTCAGTGTGACATAGCCATAGGCTTCTGCAAGCAAAACATTTCTTAAGAAGTTTCCAAACAGAATCTCCTCATGAAAGTTCAGTAGTATATGTTAACGCAAAATTGCTGCGCAAAGAACTTTTTATTGGCCTTTGAGTTCATTGTTAGTGTGAATTTTGAATTTGAGTCCACCTTGCTATGTATAGTAACGTGAGCAAATCTTCGATAGATTGGTGTTCTTCTTTGAAGCCTTGGCCAAGTTGATACAATTTTTATTTGGCTAACGTTGGCTATTTGGCCAGTCGCTTTCGTCAGAGCCTCTGACGAAGGCGACTGGCCGAAACGTTAAACAAATAAAAATTGTATCAACTTGGCCAAAGCTTCAAAGAAGAACACCAACGACATCAAGGTAACATGCTTAGATTAAGCTATTGTCGAAATGGTTGCATCGACAGATTGTTTACGTTTTGCAGATGCGATTGTGGCAACAATAAATTCCAAGCAAACTGCACGCTTTTCGAGGTGTGTTTGCGATTTTGGATTTTTTTTTTGATACATAGTACTTAATTTTGTTCATATTTGCGTCCCGCCTGTATTCAGGAAAAGGATATTCTTAACAAAAATAATTCGTACAATCACAATTTCGCCGGATTATTTTGTGTATGTAAAAAGGCATATCCTTGTGATGAAACAGATGAGACAATGCACCAGTGTGTAGTATGCGAGGACTGGTTCCACCTCTCGGTAGGTTGCATAAGAGTGGTTAGTATTATATTCTGATAATATCAGAGAAATAATATGAACGGAAATTGATACTATTCATTAAATGCTTCAGCACCTAGACGAGAATTGCGCCACAGTGGCCGAGGAACGAGAGAACGCTGGAAAGCAGGACTTTAGCCTAGTAACTGCTTGCTCTCTACCTTGAACGTGGATGTCTCTATTAAAGTTATCTGGTCGATTTGCGTTCAGCTTTGCAAGGATTGCGCCACTCGGCTCCCCTTCCTCTCACGATTATGCATCAATGAAGTTGATGAGGGTATTGTGTGTTTTTCATCAATCTCAGAAACAAAAGAAGGACCATTTCTCCTTGCTGACGGTTTTCGTAATCGCTTGTGTCGATGTGAGGAGTGCACGGTATGCAATTCCCATCACTCTTTGTTTGATGGCTTATACGGTATAGTGAGCTTGCTGCTTCGTTCAGAAACTTTATGAACGATTCGGATGCGAGTATCTAATCGATCCTGAAGATGATATTGAGGAGTTCACAAAAGAAAACATTGAGAAGACGGCAAACGAGAAGGAGCCGGACGCGGATACTATAGTGAACGAGATCGTGCAAACAGCCGGAAGGGAGGCTGCAATTCATGTACTACAAGGTAAATTTTTTACAAACCTTCGTGCACTTTCGATAGCTTTTTGGGCAATCAAATTAGCCATTTCTTATGAACCATGCCAACCATTTCAGGAATCAACGCTCTTAAACGAAACTTACAGAACTTCATGCGCGAAAAGCAAGAGGAAGGAGTCGGCATAATTACCGCAGAGCATGTCAATTCATTCTTTGACAAAATAAAGCGTAGCCGCACTGATGAAGCTTCCGGAGATGACTTTTGACCGTTGCCGAGACAGGCCGGTTTAAACGTTTTTAATTTTCTTTTTTTTTTTGAATCCTCGAGATGATTTTACTTAATGTTTGCCAGTTTTAATCTGTGTTAGTTCTCCGTTATATATTTCGTTCCTGCATCCTTTGGGACCTACTTGCTCTTTTTAAATAGTCGTCATAAGCACGTGACATGAAATAATCGCGAGCGCGTGAGCACATGGCGTATAGCCCCCTTCTATTATACATATCACTTGTATAAACGAAGATAAGATAGTTTGCAATATGCTTGCTCTGCTCGTTAGATTCATCGTTGAAGGCTGCAATCAAATATGCCTTATCGAAGATTACTCGTTTGGTAAGCCTTTGATATGTAAAGTCTACTGGGAGGAATAATGTATGGTTCTCCCTAACGTTTTGCGGGATGTCACAATTCGAAAGAGAGTTAGTGACCATTTGATGATACTGACGACGCCTAATGCAACCACTGTCACTTGTATTTGTATCTTCTCCGTCCGACAAGGAAATCTCGGGAGAGCGTCGGCGTCGAAAATGAACCTAAATCTGACTTTTTTTGTCTTAAAAGTTCGGAAAGGATTGCACAGACCAGATTGAGAGCCATTTCATTATACATATACCTTGGTATAAAACTTCGTTTTGATCTGATAGCTCCCTTTATTTCCAAATCTCGTCGACTCGTGTTTCATAGTGCTCACCACTCTCTTGAAAAATTCTTTAGTGACTCTTCGTGGTTTCCTTGTCAAATCCCGCACTAGGCATACAGCTGTATCCTTATTTTCATGGGGTAGAGTTGATCGTCTTATACCACTCACCATCTCCACCTGACAGCCAGTAAACATTGTGCCATTAGACTACTAAATGTTCCGTACTGGCGCCAACCTCTACTTCCAGTCATGTATATTGTGCCGCTGACATTGGCGAAAGCTGTGCTGTTGCGCATGTGTGCTCAGTCGTGCTGAGCGGAATGAGTTGAAGGAAAATCGTTGATGCTAGGGAAAAAAAAACTGTCCAATTATGGTCGGTTATTAGCCCATTATCGGCATCTTGCAGGCTCCGACTACGTCCACGATTTTGTACATGCACGTGCTTTGGTGGTGGAATGCCAGTGGGAGTTGAGATATCCCGTTGTAGAAATCCTGTAAAGTGTTCTTGCATTTTTAATATGCTGAATATGCTTGCATACTAAACCCAAAATGTACTATATCTTTTTTACCATCGAGTGTTTGTTTGTAACTTCCATTGTTCAGAAGGATTGCGTAGTTAGCGCGTTTGCTTTTGTATTGAGATTGTGGTGACTTAAAAAAACTCGTTGCTTAATTGGAAACTGCTATCACTAACATACTCGTTCTCTCGTTTAGTTTTTTTAAATACTATGTTACCCCTACGAAATTGTCACAACCTGTGAATTAAATTGATATGGAAAGGTAGCGTCTATAACGCCTTGTAAGCGCGATCCACTAAGGCGGCATGTACCTTGCCGTTTCCGCTGTTGTTGGATTATAAAAGTGACGCGATTTTGAATTCACAATGCCGGTACTTACCATTTCGTACTCTTGTTAACTAGAAAACAGACGAGAACATCGGGAGCGCTGAGGCTTTTGCGGTGCCTTCTCCAGCATTGATATTCACGTATCATTTCGGTTACGGCTGCCCTAACGGATCCAAGGGTTCCGCATTACTGTTGTAACCATTCCTAATGAAAAATCGGAAGTTGCAGTATTCGTCCAGTATAACAATATAGCAGGTAATTTACTACCCTCATGGCTTTGCTTTTTTTTTTGTGCTGTAAAACAATCTCATGACATTTTACGTTATATTCGATGGATAGTCCAGATTTGAAGTAACTGTAAAGTGACTCGCTAAGTCTCTGTTATCCATCTTGCGTATTCATCTCTCATCGTGTATATCTATTACTGGTTAATAAATATCGGAAAAAGACTACTTGTTGATGGTTTTGCATATGCTACACTCGTTAGATGTCTTGATATTACAGATATGTTACATTTTGCTCCTTGATTGCAACCCATTTTGTCTTATTTCTTCATACGCTTCTAAAAGTTTGCAGCGCACTGAACTTTGTAAAGGAAGTTTGAGATAACACTATCAGGACATATTAAAAAATCTTCTTGGTAAAGTTCAGAGTTTGATTTTTGGAGGAGTGTTTGAACTGGTTTGAAATTTGTGCATTAGAAGAGTGCGTGTTCCCAGCGTTAATAAGGAGGAGGAAAGGAACGAGTAGAATGTGCCGACAAGTCCATCGACAGCTTTACAAGCAGTAAAGCCCCCTTCATCTTTATCATTACCTCACTCACTCATTTTCGTTCTACTTCAAGTCTAACACCAGTCGGCGGTATCGCTCAACTCGTTATTGCCCAAAATCAAGGCTTTGAGATGCAACAGCATGCACGTGAAATGAGCGCCTGAACTGCGCTGAATGGCTGCTTTCAGACTTCGACTACGCAACCGATGACCGACCGACTGGGGGACCACGCGGCGCAGCTGCGGCGCGGCGTCATGCGCTCTCCAAGCCCGAAACGGTGTTTAGAGTCGTTTCATAGTTTCTATGTTGTAACTGTGTATTTTTCACCTATTTTAGGAAGGGGAGGGGGGGCTCCGGGGTGGGTGAGCCAATTGGACGTTCAACTTTTAACTCATATCAGCTTCTTGCACGGGACAACCATTTCACCCACCCCGGAGCCCCTCCCCTGCTTAAAAAATAGGTTTTGTCGGCTCAGAAGAAGTGTATCCATAATATGCAAGCATATTGTTTGTTCTGATCACGAAACACATCAGTTCAACCTTACCATTCCTTCCCAGACTCAGGCCCACTACTATCTCGCTGGAGAGCGCAGGGTGCCGCGCCGCGTGGTCCCCCCCAACCCGCTTAGCACCTCATTGTTATCCCTGGTACTGTCGAATTCTAAATTAATCCGTTACAATTAAACAACAAAAAAAAAGCAAAGCATTGCAAAGTAAGAAATGCTTGAAAAAACAGTGGTCGAAACTCAAAAGGCTAGGAATTAGTAATCGCCGACTTGCGGTATCGATCCTTGGATGAGTGCTTCATAGCGGTAGGCATCAGGGAGCAACCTCCGCCACCCACGTGCGGCTGCGTGACGGTTCTGGTTATGTGCCTTTTGCTTTGTCGTTTGGCGCGATACGTTCCATCGCGCCGCCCTTACGACACGGTTTACGAGCTGGACAACTCGTCCATGTCATCAGGCCGGGGATTGCCTACCCAGCTGATAGAAGCCCGGTCGACGCCGCCGAATTACGGACTCGCAACAATTGTGACTATTTGTATCGATTTAGCATGATGAGGAATCACCTGAGCGAGTTTTGCAGAATTTGAGGATGGTCACTCGAGTGGCCTATGGGATCGCGCCAGGCGACCGCCACCCTGCACCTTTTATTTTTCTGGCATTGTAACGCAAAATAGTTTGCGCACCTTTTTCAGAAGTACACCACGTGACCCCCTAGCTGCCCCATCCCCCCCCCGTGTCCTTGCTCAAAGCCCATTTTTCATACGTCGTGTATGTGACGGGTGGATAATTTGGGCGTTCAAATAAGGTTATGCCGTGAAATGAAATATATCACTCGATCGCCGTCCAGCGCTGTCAACCCGCGTCGCTCGGTCGGCGGTTGGTCGGTCGGTTGCGTCGTTGAAGTCTGAAGGCAGCCAACTGAATAGCGCCAGCGTCACACACACGCATGAATGTACGCTGATGTCTGACGAAATGTTCGTTACAAATTGTGGGTTCTAATATATTTTGTTTCTTGTTTTGAGTTGATGTTTGGTCAACTGCTGTTTTTTGCCGCAGTGCGCGATGCGAAAGTCTCACATGGTTGGCGAGTTATGGACAAAACTTCGTCCTCGGACGGGACTCGAACTCGTACTTTTGCGTGCGCTTTCCCACACTGCCGAATGTAAGGGATTAAGAGTATGCACAAGTACGGGTTCGAGTCCCCTATTTGTGCGTGCTCTTTGTCTGTACTTTATGTTTGTCTCTTGTCTTCATTTTGTATACGTTGTTTACCGAAAAGTTCGTTGTAGTAAATACTGCAGCACCGAATCATGCAACGAAGACGAAAACTAACAAGTGATGGCAGCGCAACAACTGACATGCAGAATGAGAACTCAAACGTTCATTCGAAGACACCTTCTCTGCAACTGAAGTTAGATGGAAAACTATTGGAATCTATAGAGGCGTGAGTTTTGCTCTTCCTCGTGAATTTTTAGCAAATACAGTTTTAGTGATACTCATGACAGGGCTCTGCATCCCACTCACTCACCTCATTCCCTAGAAGTGGACTTTTTTTCAAATTGTTTTTCAAGTTTTATTTTTTCCTACCGGTCTTTAAGATTTTGTGGGATTGAGCTTGGGCTTGAAGAAAAAAAAAACGCAGATCCGAATATAGGCAATCCCTGCATTGGGTAAGATGATGGCCTTGTGCGAAAGGCTGAGAACTCGCCCATACGTTGCTCCTTCCCTACTGAGGCTCAGTTTTAAAATTGTATGTCCCTCATGTAACATGAAATAACACGTAACACCATGTTAATTCCTTGCTATAGAACACTGGTGTGCAAAACTTACCAGGGAGGGGTAGTCTACTTACCGTGGGACTTTGAATGGAGACCAAGATAAAACGATAGAGTTTAGAATGCTATTTACGAAAATGGAAATCGAAACTGCTAAATGGTTTTCCTTAAAAAGTTATGAGGGCTCGAATTTTGCTTGGCAGTAGTATTATTTGGATATGCGAACTCGTCGCTTAAGTATCAAGTGCCGACGTGGCATAGTGGTAGTGGTCTCGCTTCATAGGCGTGCGGTGCGGGTTTGCTCCCCGCCGTCGTCGGCGTTTTTGCAAAGCGTTTTTTCATTTTATTAAAGACTCTCTTTTGTTCCCAGATTTAGAGAATCAGCATGTATACGATGCGCAGTTTGCGAACAACTTGTGTGCTTCACGCATTTTTTAAAGTTTTCAAAAAGTTTTTCCATCAATGTTGCTTCTTGCTGGCATCTAACTTAGCTCTAGCACCTTTTTATTGCATGCTTTTTGGAGTTCAAAATAAAACAGAGTCGTACAATTGACGTGCAGAACCACTTTCCCTGGACAGGGGTGACGCGTGAAAATGAAAGCAGAAATAAGGCTTTTACCTAAACAAGTGTCAGAAAAGGTTAAGAGAGTCTTTAATAAAATGAAAAAAACTTTTTGCAAAAACGCCGACGACGGCGGGGAGCAAACCCGCACCGCACGCCTA